GAAGTTAATTTTAAGTTTGGGAGCCCTAATTTCATAACTAACTATGAATTGGTGGAAACCAAAACAGTCGCCATCCTCCTCAGAGCCGCCGCGGCGCGGCGGGCTTTTCCACAATCTGCAATCCCAGTTCTCCAACTTCCTCCAGATGCCCCAAAACTTGCTCTTCAACGGCTGCCGTGCAACAGCTCAAACCCCGAATATTACTCCAGATCAAGCTTGGGATGCTTTAAAGCAATTATTCTACCCTCGTTATGTTGTTTATAATACAAGAATGGGCCTAAGGGACCTGAAGTATAAACGCACAATCAAGGATTATGTTATGGTGGCAACAATGATTATGCTTCAGATCCATATTCTCTCAGATGATGATCTACTTAAATTAGCATACGAACTTCAATACTGGACAAAGCAAGAATTAAACCGTTACAACCGTCATAGGAAAAAGAATTTTGCTATGTCTGAAGAGGAAATTGGAGAAAGATTATGCAGAGTGCCTGTTTATAATATCAAATTTTCTGAGTATGAAGCAGCCCAGATGGCTTCACTCACGAATCGAAGGAAAACAATTCTAGGGTATTTTTTAGGTAAGGCAGATGCCAAAGCTTATGCGGAGCATGGCCTCGTAGTTTCAGTACCCCCCAGGATTCCCTACGTAGATTCTGAACGACTTGACGTTGTAATTATATATACTTCTCAATCTTATTCTTGATTAAGTAACTTCTTTAATCTATATACAAATAATGCATTAATTTTACATGTATTCTGTAGGTTATGGATTACAATATGGTATTGGGGCCTCTTAAGTTGATACCAGAGGCAACTGAAGTGAAGAATGCATTAGAGGTGAGAGTTTTTCCATTTACTTTTTATTCTGGCGTGCGTAATTGTACCTTTTGAAGAATTTAGAATTATTTATTAATGTTTCATTTTCTTCTCCTAAAATTCTGATTAGCAAGCATTCATTTCTAGGAAAATAGAATTTTTAAAAAAATAACATAAAACCCAAAAGCTAAAACTTACGTTGTAATTTTTTGTAGGTTAAAAAGAAGGCTGGTCTTCCTTGTAAAGAGTTTTCTGGCATTCCGGTTTTCGAGGTTCTTTTTGCTAAATTTTATACTACATATTTTGTGCCGAATACTTGATAATACAAGATTTTATTTTTCTAGTAAAATTCTACAAATTTTCCTATGAGGAAGAAATGGTGACATTCATTTTTGGGGTGCAGTCAAAGAATTTGAGTTTATGTCAAGACTGTTATATCACAAATGAAGAGTTCTCAGATGGAAGACGTCTGGTTTTCTTCAAAAAGGTAAAAACAAATTTAACAATTCTATTCTATTCTTGTTAAGGTCAACAAATGATCTCCATTCAATTTATCTTTCTATGTATGTAGGAGGACCTAGAGAAGTCCCTGGCAAGAGCAAGAGTTGCAAGTCATGATGGAGTATCAAATTTTTCAGATGCAGGGACACATATAGAGGTCATTTCTCTCTTCTTCTTTTTTCATTTTTTAGTTGATTAAATTTTTTTTCTCTGCTCCTTCGAATCACTGAGTGGGATGAGTATTTATTGCTATCGAAAAAAATTAAATAAAGAATACAAAACATTGGAGGGTACCCACATTATAGCCTCCAATATATGAAAACAAAGATATATTGTAAGCTAATAGGGAGAATTCTAACTAGTAACTCGTGCCTTTTATCGTGCTCCTTATAACTTTTGAAAGTTACAGAAGAACTTCGTATTCATTGTGCTAATACTATTTTCATCTTATAGGTTGCTGCCCTTGAAGATATTATAAAAGCAATGAAGGTGAGGAATCTCTCTCTCTTGTTCATCTATGAACTTATTTATTTTTTGTATTTCTTCTTTATATGAGGTACAAAATTCTCAAAAAAGTTTCCATGTGTCACCCACGTTAACTAACTAGTTTTCAGTCTCCAGTGATTTAAATATTGCGAATCAACTTCGTTAGACGTCCAGTATTTTGAACATATAATATACAAATTTTTGCAGGATAATTCAACGTCGGAGTGGAATAGTGTTTATTTCGCATATCCTGGAGAAGATTTTACAACCCTTTCATTAGTCCAGAGCTATGAGGACATATTAAGAGAGATGGATAATTTCAAATGATGGAGATATTATTCCAATTAAGAAGTCTTTTTTATTTATTTTTAAAGTTACTTGAATTGGACATCTTCTTAGGACTTGACTTATATAATTACTTTATATCTTTGCTTCTCATTTTTAAATGTTGAGGGGTTTGATCAACATACCCCCAAAGTAGATATCGTAGTCTTTTTTTTTTTCTTTTTTTTTTTCTGGTGTGAAGAATCTATTTTTTATTGACAAAAAGTTGCAATTATTTACTTAATTAATATAATTTAATATATTTATTATCAATTGATATGTGAAAATATAATCGTATTTTTTCTTTGAAAAATTAATAACTAAGCTTTACTTTATTTATTATAATTAGAAAGCCAATTTTTTAAAGATAAATGAGAAGACGTTGTACCCCTTTTAAGTCTAAATTGAAGGCTCAATCAACTTGGATAAATGTTGAACAAAGAAAAAGGCATGATACTTATTATAATTTTCTTCATAGATTTTCTTCAATAAGGCATGATAAATTAGATATTTATTTACGGGCAAACTCTTAATATAGATATTGGAATTTATAAGGTTTTATATGAAGTTTTTAGTCAAATTTACTTAGCTAGTTTATAATTTTATTTCTGGCTTCGTTGCAGGGATCATAGGAATAGATCATGTGTGACATTAATTAGTAGTATAATGAAATATTATTTCAACTTTTATAATTATACCTATATTTAGGAGTAATGTCTTGGTTCAATATTAATGATATTAGCCTAACCTGACCATTAGTTAATCAATTTTCACGTCTGAAATGGGGAAATTAGACTGTGCTGTCTCTTTTCTTCTGAAATCTGAAATATGCCTTCCTTTTTTGATTTTGAAGTTATTATCTTCATCCAATATTTCTTAACACTTTACAAATGACTTATAAAAATGAATAAATTTTATAAGTACAAACACGAATAGACGAATGCATAAATCCATTGTGTATATATTCATTAATTAGAAATTTAGAAAACATGTATCACATTTGTTAAGTACATGTAACATTTGAATTAATTTAATATAAATAAATAAAGTTTAAATCTTCTTGCAGTATGATCATTTTTAAGTATACAATAAGAATTATGCTGCTCAAACAGGGCCTGTGACAGGAGCTTGTGAAAAAAAGTTCACACAAGTGACAAATTTTATTTTTCTAAGACCTTTAAAAAATCGGAGCTTTGGTTTCGATATTTTTCTTGACATTGTTACTAGAATGAAAGCCAATTGTATCTGATGCAAATGGTTTTAATGTTAGAATAGTGCACAATGGAAATACTTTGAAAAAGGGTCAATTTGATGCATATTTTTATGTGAGAAATGGAAAGGAGTGTTCCAAAAAGGATGTTTTAACTTATTTAATAAAAACATAATTTTAGTCTTATTCGAGAATTAAATTAGGGTTTTTTAGTATGACTTTTGGCATGTCAAAAAGAGCTTTTAATATTCAAAAGTTGATTTTAAAGCTGTTTGACTAATTTTGTGAAAGCATTTCTTCTAGCTACAAAACATTTTAGAGAAAGTTGATTCAGTTTAGTTTCGTCTAAAAGCACTTTTGAAAAAGCATTTTAGAGGAAGTTGATCCAATGTGGGAATGGATATTAAGCCCTTGTTTCGATTCCACTTTAATGAGTTTTTGGGGAAAAAAATGTATTTTAAAATTGTGATTTTTGAAGAATGTGGTTTAAAAAAATGAAAAAGTTTTGACTTTTAATTTGTAAAATAAATAAAAATAAAAATGTGAGGGCAAAACTGAAATTTTGAAGGGGATGCCAATAAAATAAATAAAGTAAATAAAATAAAAATGTGACCCACTACAAAAACATTTCTCCATTTGCGTATGCCCTCCCCGCGTCTCTAAAACTGTCGACTGGCCGAGTTTCGCCGCCCTACCGCCGGAGTTCACCTGCTCTTTCGGTTATCCACTTCTCTCTCTCTTAATTTTTTTTATTACCCTCTTACCTTTAATTTGATTTTGTTGCTCAGATCATAAGATCTTCTGTATTTATGATTATTGTCGGATTTTAATTAAAAATTTTGTTTTCTAGGATATTTCTAGTTTTTTAGTGAATTTTAGGTATTTAAGTTTTTGAAATTAGCTCAGTTTGCATCAGGCCTCATCTATGATTTTCATTTAATTTTTTAATAATATAATTTTGGTGCCTGTTGATGTGATCTTCTATCTATAATTTATTTTTTTTGCACATGATCAAATGTTCTTGGTCGTGAAATATTTTGGGGGCATTCACTTCTGCTACTAGTTATCTATATACTTTCTCGATTGGTGTAGATATAAATAGCAGTCATATGCGTCAAATGCCTGTGCTTCAAATATAGAAGATTCTTCCAGTTGTTTGTTTTCCAAATTTAGTACAAATAAAAATGCATTAATGAACTATTCCCCTTGGGGTTTGAATGTCTAGGCTTTTTACGAAATATATAGAATGTTGTATTTGAAGAAATCGCAAAGAATGAGCTATTTATTAACTTTGATTACATCAATGCCATATTCGATATTATGCATTCCATGTAAAAGTTGTAAGTTTAACAGCATGCTCTTCCAACCATATAAGATTAGTGAGTCATAAGGTACATTGCCATTTTATGATTTCTGGAAAGTGCAGATACATGACTCACATGAATATACGTTACTTGTTAATTGTTATGTTGGTGACAATTAAATACAAATTTGCTTGAGTTGTTGCTACATATTTTTGGATTTATGGTTGTGATAGGCACTCGTGAATTTTAGATTAGCAACCATACCTAAGTTCTAATTTCCGGTGACCTTTCATTTGCATGGAATTTTATTGAGTGAATAACCCTAATGGTCACTGAACTTTGCAAAAAGTTTTCATAGGGTCACTGAATTTTAAAAATCATCAAATTCATCACTGAACTTTGCGAAAGGTTTTTACGGGACAACTTTAAAAATCACCTCATTCATCAATGAACTTTGCAAAAGGTTTCTACGGGGTCATTGAACTTTGCAAAAGGTCTTGTGGAAATCTTTTGCAAAGTTCAATGATGAATTGGATGATTTTTAAAGTTCAGTGGCCTCATAGAAATATTTTTCAAAGTTCAATGACCATTTGGGTAATTCACTCAAATTTTATTGGTACATTGTTGTTCATAAAGGCTAGTCACTAAATTGAACTTAATTGTTATCCTAATTTTCTTCCTAGAGAATGCGTGGCTCATCTTAAAATGTTAACTTATAAGTAAGTCATTCTGAAATTATTTACTTTAACATAAGTAACTTACTTATTTTGACAACAATGTAAGAGTTACTTTCAGAAGGTAACTTTATGACTTAAAAGTTATTGAATAATGTTTGGAACTATAAGTAACTTTTACTTCTTTATTTAAGCTTAGCCGAACATGCTCTAAGCTGTCCTTTACAAGTAAGCACTTTAACGGACCCCAAGTGATTTTTTAACTTATATTCAAGATAATTACGTATTTACAAAATACTGTCTCAATTCATCCTATTTCATCAGATCTGGGGTGTGATAGGGTTCCGAAAGATGAACTGGATATGGACAGTTCCAATAAGATTTCATTCTTGAACAAAAATCCTTTTTTGATTTATTTCATTTATTCCATTTCTTGTTTTATTACTTAAAAGCAAGTGTCAAGCTGCTTATGTGATTTGATAGAGAGAAGCACCAAGAAGACAAAAATAATAATCATAAAAGAGAGAACTTTCTTATTGGCTGTAAATCTTAACTACGAAGTCCTATGTGCAGTTTCTCCTTATATACCACCATAAAGCCCTAAATTGTTGAATTCAACTACTCAGATGGCAATTCTCTCTGATTACGTAGAGGAAAACCAGATGCAGACGACATCAATGAAGCTGCTTACCGCCTCATTCGATCTGCCAAACCCTTTAGGGTTTCTGGAAAAGGTCTTTGAGTTCATGGCGCGAGAGAGCTTTTTATTCAAGAGCTATTCCTTGATAAAGGACATTGAATGCTGTGGTTAGAATGGTGAGGGAGAAATTGGTTGTCGAGGAGAAGAAGAGGAAAGAATTGAAGACTGAACTAAGTGCAAAATCTGAAAAGATAGTGGAGGAGCTACCATGGGCTATAGATGTGGAAATGGAAGAGTTGAAGCCGGAAGTCAAGTAAAAGGAAAGTGTTATTAAAGATGAGGAGAAAAAAGGACCTCAAGGTATCATTCAATTTTTATTATTTGGAATAATATTATTAATTACAAGTGGATTTTCTAGAATCTGATTCTGTATGTATTACTTTTTAGGTATAATGGCTCTATGAAATCAATTTTTTGGCTTGTCTTCTACAAACTTAGACCGGCGAGATTACTGTGATTTATGTCTCACAAAATTTCCATTTGTTTGAATGCAGTTAGATTGGTCTCTACTGGTTATGTCATTTTTCTCTTTATTGATTGATTCTATTTAAGTTTGTCTACTTTATGCTTTGCCTATTCTTGGATTTTAGCTGCTTTGAGTAATGTTTATAATGCACTAGAGTTTCATTACATAAGTAGTGCATCGATCAAGTGTTGCTTAAAAATATTTATCCTGTTTAATTTGGATAGCTGCATAAGAAAGGCTGTGGGATTCTTTATTTGTAGTACTCGTGTACCTCTGTATTTGATTTTCAAGAAGGATGAAAATATGAGAACCTATGTTATATCTTTCTTCATTTGTCTTGGTTTGGAACTTTATTTGCTTGTGTTCAATTGCATTTGTATATTGAGAATCTATATATTTCTTGAAGTACATTTTAAAGAAAAAGGATGAGGAGAAGATATCTTCGATCTTGAATCGTTCATTTTTTTATTGACTTCATGTGAAAAATAATGGAGAGGGCTTGGGGGGATCCTACAAAACGCACAGCGAAAAGGAAAAAAAGAAAACAGGTAGGAAAGTGAAAAACATGAAGTAAACGTGGCTGTACCGTAATTTTCATTGACCAGCATTAATTAGACTTCCCTTTCCATGAAAATTGCCTTCTGCAAAACATTCCATATTGCTGTAATTCCTTCTGTGCACGGCTGCCCAATTGTTCTCTTATTTAATTAACGTAATCAACTTAGAGTGTGGGCACATGAACAGGTGCCTGGGAGATTTTGTCTGCTATTTCATGCTTTTGGAGATTCTTTGTAGTATTTGTGGAAGTTGTTTCATTGATAGATGTAAACTTCTTGAAGAAAGGGACAACAGACTATGAATCAATTTTTCTTTTTCCCTTTGGAGTTAAATTATGAGGATGGTAACCAGAATCTTAACTGCATTCTACTTTTGGGATTTCTACAAAAGGAAGTCATGACTAGTGAGGAAAAGAGCAATTTTATATTAGTTGAATTTCTTAGATTTGTCTTTCCATCTGCATGGATTATAGTTTTAATGTTTTTTAATTGCGTGTGCCAAGCATCACTGACACACTGTATTCCAGTTCAATCAACAGTCACACTGAAAATTACATGGTAGCGTGTTAATTAGAAGTAGTAAATTACCCGCCAAACCATCCAACTCGCCCGTCGGGTCGGGATGATTTGGGCTTGTTTCCTGGTATGATTTGGGTAGCTTCCGATTTGGTATCTGTCTGATCGGGTTGGGTCATGAATTAAGTCACCAACCCGAGTAGACCCAACCCCTTTCATTTTTATTAGTTTTTCTCTAAATCATTTAAAATTCAAAAAGTAAACTTTAATGAAAAATCAAAGTATATAAAAACAAAACCTAATTGCCATTTGCCTCAGTTGTCTCGTTCCAGAAGGAAAAGGGAGAAGCCCTCACAACTCGCTAGTCGCTGCCGCCCCTCTCCCTCGACCGACGATTTCTTTTCAAGAATTTAAAGGGAGTCATCAAGATTCGAGGATTTGTTTTCTTCTCGTCAATCGTCCCATTTGATGTTATCAAAAATGCAGTCAAGTAAGTCCTTTATGATTCAAAATTGGTTCTTTTTCTCAATTTGGATTCTGAATTTGGTGCTTAATGGGATTAAAGGACCCCATTTGAATAATTAAATTGATTTATTGTTCGGACCATTATTGTCTATTGATATCCATTGAAAAAGAATTGTTGTGTTGAAACTGACCTAACCAAACCAAACAGATCGGTTTGGGTCGGTTTGGTTTCAAAGATGGGTTGTGTCAGTTTCGGGTTAGATTTCACCCAAACCAACCAAGTTGGTTTTGGTTTTGGGTTGGGCCCAAAATCAACCCATGCCCACCCCTATTCTGATTTTGATTATGCTCATGAAATGTTATTTAATATTTTTGATAATCTATAAATATAACTAATGACTACCAAGTACCAACCATCCGATCTACTGGTTTAGGGAAGACCATGATGCGTTGGTTACTAAATGTTCTTTTGTATGAGCAGCTCCTAACAAAGGCAATGGTCTTGATATGGATAAGTACTATTGGGGTCAAACTTTGCAAGAGGCAAATGTCGTTGTTCCTGTACCTCCTGGAACAAAGTCAAGTTTCATTGTGTGTGAATTTAAGAAGAACCATCTTAAAGTTGGTCTCAAAGGTCATCCTCCAGTTATTGACGTAAGTGTATTGTGTTGTTCCATGGCGCTTCACGTGCTGTTCTCTTAGAATAAAAAGTTGAACTTATGTTTGTTTGCTTGCAGGGTGAACTCTTCCAGCCTATTAAGGTAGATGATAGCTTCTGGACTTTAGGTAGGTCTTGTTACATATTCTACAGCCGTGCATTATATATATTGTAGATTTGTCTGTTTATTGATAAAAAATGTATGTTGAATGTTCTTTGAAAGCAAATGGATGTCTAACTATATTCTTACTGTTTGTAGAGGATAAGAAATCTGTCTCAATCCTCCTTACCAAGCAGAACCAGATGGACTGGTGGAAGTATCTGGTGAAGGGTGAACCAGAGATTGATATCCGGCAAGTAGAACCTGAAACCAGCCAACTTTCAGATTTGGACACCGAAACACGTTCAACGGTGGAAAAGATGATGGTAAGCTCCGGTACACCTTAACAGCATTTGCACCTATATTTTTTTACTTTCATGACCATTTCATATGTGTCATATTCTTATGATATCTATTTTGAAGATTGTTAATCAGTTGACACTACATATTTGGCCAGCCAAGAAATGGTGACTCAATTTTTGGGCAACCTTTTTAAGTAGTTCAATTTGGCTTAAATGCTTTGCAGTTTGACGAACGACAAATATCCATGGGCCTTCCAACTAGTCATGAATTGCTGAAGCAAGAGATTATAAAAGATATATTTGGCTGAGGTGAAGCTAAATGACTTATCTCGCACTTCTCATCTTATTCCTTTGGCATTACTATGTATTTCCATGTCATGGTGATTTACTTTACTGATTTGAGTTTATGAATTTTCCCAGCATCCAGAGATGGATTTTAAGGGGTAGAAGTTTGCTAGTGAGCCGGAGAGGGCTTTCTGGGCTGGTTATGTTGCTTCTCAATATTATACCTCTGTCGATAAAAACTATTGGTAATCCTTTTGGGCTTCTCGATTGACTTTTAAACTGCTTTGTTTTTGTGTAACTTTTTTCTCCTGGTCCATCTGAGAGGCTTCTTTTTAATATCTTTCGTCTATATGAACCCGTTTACAGTATTGAACATAGTGTTATATTATAACTTTACTGTTACTCAACTATTTTCATTAAATTTTTGAGCGTTGTCTTCGAAGTTTGCATTACAATTAATAGAAGTATTAAAGTAAGATTTAGGTCCCGTTTGTTTGGCATTTTGGCAAGAATGAGAATGGAAAATATAGTCATTACGGACTCCACACAAGAGATGGAAATTCAAATTTGGTTGCTTAATGTGATGGATAACGGTCATATTTTTCATTTTTCATTTTGTGGTTGTATAAAGATTAAGTAGTAATTTTACTTTTCATTGGTTAAGCTTAAAAGTTACTTTTGTTGAAAGTAAGGTAAAAGTACAATATTAAAGAGTGTTTTATTAACAAAAAAGAATGTGATTTGAAAATCATGTTTAGCAAAATAAGTAATTAAACTACATGCTCGTTTAATTTAGATGTCTATGGTGATTTCATTTAGAGATATGTTACTTATTAATATTCTTTCCACATACACTATATTATCTCGAATAATTTGGTTATGCAATGTGTGCACAATTAGCCCCCGTTTGAATCACATTACATTAAATTTCATTAAATTTCATTTTTTCATCCTATTTTCAATTACACAATCTTCTATAAAATAATATTATACGTAAATCGAAAATATTTTTTTTTTCAACCACTCATTTTTCAAAAAAAATACTATTTCTCTCATTTTCATTATCAAAAAATGGGGACCAAACGGGAGCTTAATATGAAGAGAGAAAAATGTTTGGGTATAGTGTCATGTCGAGGCTTTATAGCATCGTTGCATTTGCATGACACTCACAATCGAGGCTTACTTAATTGTAACAAAATAAGTGTTCTAAAAAGTTAAAAACGTTGTTATGT